TGACCACGGGCTTGAACAACCTTCTTTGCCAGATGATGCTTTCCTAAGGCTACTCCAGACCAAAGTAGTTAAATCTTGACTAATCAGAATACTAGGGTGGGGAAGCAATGATCAACAGAAAAGATAAAAAGAGGAGCAGCTGGGTGGTGCAGTGGATATAGCACTGGCCCTGGATTCAGGAGGACCCGAGTTCAAATCCAACCTCAGATATATAACACTTACTGGCTGTGTGACCCTAGGCAAGTCACTTAACCCCATTGCCTAGCCAAAAAAACAAAAAGATGAAAAGAACAATATTAGATTAACTCTGGTTAAGGAGGAATAAATTAGCCCTTTTTAAAAGCATGTGTTTAAGGTCATATACGTCAAGTACTGTATTAAGTGCTGGGGACACAAATAGAAAATCAAGACAGTCTCTGCTCTCAAGATTACATTTTAATTGTGGGGGACATAAAGGAGGGTTCATGCTTATGTTGGGTTGATTTTAAGGCAGGGAGAGTAGCAGACATGATAGCAAGGCCTACATGGTAAGGTAGAACTCTGGAGTATCTCCAGCAGAAATAGAGATCTAGGACTGCTGGCAGTGGGCAGTGTACCTGATGGGAGCTTGGCAGTGGGGAAATGTATTGGAGGGGAAGTGTGGTATAATAAATATAAAACATAAAGGGATCATTCTTCAGAGATTCAGAATCTTATGGTGCCTTGAACACTGTAAGAAAAAAGTGGTAGTGGGGGTGGGGAGACTCATCATCCTGGACATGAATTTTTTTTTTTTTTAAAAACATGGTTAGATGCCACAGAGTAGGTGACAATGCCTTAACTGTATATGTGTTGTAAAGACCACTAGGACCTCTTCCATCCTTATCAAGGGGAGTGCTAACCTTCTCTCCTTTCATACAACACCTGGACATGGATTTTTACTGAACAAGTCTTTAGGTTATCAGGTTAGATGTGTAGTAACACTAGCTACACACTCTAAAAAGTTTAAATGTACAAAAAAGCACAAGTATTAGTTTATCATTTGCCTCTTTCTCCTATTCCCTGAGAGCAAGAAAAAAATTTGAGGGTTACAGTTAGAAATTTAGTGTATGGTCTGTGATGGATCATAAGGTTTTTTGTGGTGGTTTCAAGACAAACACAAAGCTCTTTGCTCCCGTCTTTTGGCTTGTACAGCTACTGTTTTCTGGTAAATAAACTTTTCAGGAGCTGTGTTGCCTCTTTATGGTGCAGAGGCAGCATGTTCTTTCTCCCAAGAAAGCCAACACCTAATTCCCTAGAAAGCTGCATGCTGGTAACTGGGAAGCACCAACTTTCTTGTTTAACTGAGAGCCAGTCACTGTACATCTGCATCCTTGCTGTGCACAAAGTCATACTGACCTGATAACTTCCTTCTCAGCTGGTATTTCAGAAAGGGATAAAGTTGGAAGAATCCCCAGCTTGCTTTCTCCTTTTATGGGCCTGGCTAACTCCCTTGGTGATTTGATCGCACAGCTGAAGCACTATCTTTTCACATTTCCTCATAAGCAATATGAAATAAACAGTTCAGGGAATGTATCTCTTTCATCCTTTCACTCATCTTGGAAGTTAGACTACTCAGAACAGGGTCAATGTGTTGATCCAGCTCAGCTATGCCTCCATTGTTCTATGAAAGCTATCCATTCACCAGTTAAGAGAATGTTTCTGACTGTTGCTAGGGCTAAGTCATCCTATAAATTAATCTGTAACTAATATATATTAATTATAGCTTGTAAATATTTACTGAGTAGTAATGGGTCTCAGGATGAGACACCAAAGCACCAGTGTGCTTTAGGACAATGGGGCCATTGTCCTAAACTTCAAAAAGGATTCTGCTGGTCATTCCAAACCTGATTATCTTCCTAGTAATCTTTTTAATTCTAGTGCCTTATTACACAGTGCTCACCTCTAAAGAATAGGAAATACCTTAAAGTAAAAAAAAACAAAATTAATCTCCACTCTCCTGTAAGGAAAATCGGAGAGACTAGAATTTTTTTTTTTTTTTACAGAGGGCTTGGTCACATGCTGAATATGGATAAAACTAAGTATAGATTTCAGCGCTCTTCCTTCTTATTCCAGGTAGTGGCCTGTCTCCTATAGCTTTTCCCCATGTTATTTTCCCTAGTAGCTATAAGAAAAGTAGGCAAAGTAGCATATCCAAAGCATTAAAAACTAGACCACTTATAAAAGCTACACTCCCCAAAACATTTATAGTGGGAGAAAACGTCAAGTTCTGCTTACCACTCACCACAGCAGGAAAAAAGATGGCAGAAAGCCTCGGAACACTGCACTGATTATCGTCAAGAAAAGGACAGAGGAGGATTTTAATAAGGACCCTTAGTGAAGCCATCTGCTCATACTGGCCAAGCAAACAAACAAGATGTTAGACTTTGTTAAGGAAATTATCAAGAAAAACAATGCAAACAAGCCGAATATTTTAATGTCATTATATAAAAGTTAAACTATCATCCACCCACTTCATCCTGTGGGAAGATATCCATTCATTTTCTAGACATACAGAATAGACTGAAGAGTGCTCTGAGGGTGTTTTATTTAATTCTGCAGCTGGGGCAGGCTATATAGCTTAATTTACATACCTCTATCCACTCTGGTCTCAAAGATCTTAATGCTACTGACCAACATGCATACACTTGCTTGACCCAGTCCCTGGCACATAGTTCATGTTGGCCTGAATTTTTGGTGTGTTTTCCATTCAGCCTTCTTACTACCAGTTCAGCAATCCCAAAGACTTCCTTATTCAGTTGTTTTCACTTTCCAGCACCATCCCTCAGTGAACTACACAGCCTAAAAGTTTAAATATTTTCTGTGAGGGCCTTCCTGTTCCTTTTCAGTATTACCCAGGCAACCCTTTTTGGGCAAGAAACCTAAATCTCAGCTCAGTGTCAATAGGTTCCACCACTTTTCTTATCTCCCAACAAGTTAAAAATGTGGCCAGCTCACCCTAGACTTTTGTACATCCTGTTCTTCCAATCTGATTTCTGCTCCAATAAGCCAAGAATTGGAATGATTTTTGTTCATCTGTATTACTTGCATTGGTTTAAACTCAGTCTGTTAGACTATTTCCTGCATCACATCCTTTAATACAGTTAACACCAGGATCTTAGTTCATGAAAAACCCAGCTTTGGCTCTTCAGTGACTCTTTACTTCAACAGAAATACTACTTTGGCAGCACTTTGTTTCCCTCAAAGTGATCATACTTTTTTCTTTTGACTTAAGCTTGACCCTACAATCTAATAAATAGAATCTAGAGAGAAATACTGAAGCCCTTTTCCCCAATCAATGTGCTCCTTCAAGTTCTGGTAACAAATTTCATGATGGCTGGATGAGCAATTCCTGCCTTCAATTTTTGTGGTCTCAGCAATCCAAAGAAGTTTCCTTTTCTAGACCTGGAAATATGTAGAGCAATAAGTGGGCAGCAAACACCAGCCAAGTTTTTTTCTGTTTCCTAAGTCGGTAGTAGTGTTTGGCAAAACACCGTATTCTAAGTCCAAGGGCCTGGGATTGAATTTTGCCTCTGTCCCTTTTTTTTTTTAGTCAAAACTCTTTATTTTACACATCCCTTAGCAGTCCTTCCATGACCAGCAGCCTAGGAATCTCCACTGGTTGGTCTCACCACAGCCTCCATACCTCACGCTCCGACTCCATCAAGGTGAGCAAGTCCCCCTCCCACATGGGGCCCTTCACGTTGCGGATGATGGACCAGCTCATGTCATCCATGAACTCCACGTGCACCTGGGTGCACTGGCCCTGAGAACCACTCCTGCCCAGCACTTTGGTGACCCAAGCCAGCTCGATGGGCTGCACGTGGCCAGTGTCCATGACGGCGGCGGCAACAGAAAACGGGAGAGACGAGAGCCTGTCACTTCTTTGTTGGAGCTTGGGTCAATTCTTCCTACAGGGCAGTTTTCTTACTGTAAAATGGGGTAGTTGGACTAGGAGATCTTTAAGATCTCTTACCAGATCTAAATCTTACAACTTTAGTCTAGGGTTAAACACAGCTAGTTTGATGCTGGTTTCTTAACGTGGTTACATGCAAGACATCACTGCTGTCATCTCAGCTGCGGGCCAGTCCGGCTGTACTCTCAATGCCTTAAGATCTTTTGGAAGCAGAAAGGCGCTGGAGGGCTAGCTCATGAACAGACTCTGAAGTAACTTTGGAGGCTGTCTTGTTCAGCCTGTACTTGCCCTGCAATCTCCTCTGTAACATCCTCAACAAGCAGTCATCCAGCCTTCAGGTCGAGGTAACAGCCCAGTTCATGTCTGAACCGTTCTAACTGCTAGAATTTCTTTCCTTACATGAGGCCCAAATCTCCCTTTGTGTAATGTCCAACCACTGTTTCCCTCTAGGGTGACAAGCAGAATAAATCAAATCCATCTTGCACATGACAGTCCTTCAAATACTGGATGACAACTAAGAGAGCATGTCCCTGCTAAGATCTCTTCTGCAGGCAAGAAGCAAATCCAGTTTCTTTAACTGATCCTTGTAGAATATGGTCTCCCTGGTTGTCCCGGGACAGGTGTTTCAGCTCCTCAAAAGCTTTCCAAAATGAGCTCTACAGCACAATCCAGTCCTCTGAGCCATCCCCCTTTAGCAAAGGAAGCATTTAGGAAGAAGCACTGCCAAAAAATTTTATCCGTAGTTTGTGATCTTCCTGATTGCCTATTAGTGCTGGATACAAAAGTAAATTCTGACTCGGATTCTCTGTCCAATGGACAGTTGACACAGTACCTATCTCAAATACATGACTGCCAACAGCTATCTGTTGAGAATTGGGGCTGAGCTCAGTCCACAGAACAAGAGGGAACATCATTTCAGCCTGTGAATAATTTACTGCTCGTGGCATTGCAACCACAAAGCTAGAGAAGCATATGAAATCTTCAAATCTGCATCAAGAGACAGCAGTCAAAAGCTCTATCCCCTGAACCACCTCACCTTCCCAAGGGCAAGAAGACATCACCACACTAAGGATAAAATAAGTTTTTATTTATAGTCTTATAGTAAAGGGGGAAGCCTTAACTTGCAAGACAGTTCTTCGGCAGTATGTACAACATACTTTTTATTTCCATGGAATGGAATTAAACATGGACAGAGACTACATAGTACACACTAGAGATCAGCAAACGCCAGAACAAGGTAGGGTAGAGACAAAAAAAAAAAGAAAGAAAAAGAAAGAAAAACAAAAGAAAAAAGAGGCTTAACACACAAACCCTTCACGGAACCTGTTTGTTGACCACAGCCAGAACCAGGGCCATGTCATATAAGGGAGAGAGGTCCCAAAACAGAAGGGAAAAAGAAACAGAAGGGGCCTGAACTAGTCTGTGGTTTTTAGTACCAGGTAAGATGCTCTTGGTATAATTATATACAAAATCAGTTGGCTCTATTTCTTAGAAACACACACAAAGGAAAATTTGATCATTACTTTATGAATCTGTCGCTTTGCAATACCGACATCATCAAAATAGGGAGAGTCCACTTGGATTCAAATTTCAGTAGCAGGAAATAAATATTAAAACATTATCACTTGCCCTTAATACAAAAAAATGCACTCCTCCCCCAACCCTAACCCTCCCCCTTCTCCACTCCCTCTATTTCTGTCTCCCCCTACCCCAAAATCAATCCCCTGGTGGCTGAAGCTTCCCTACTGCAGTCTCCAAATACATACCACATGGTGTCACATGACCCTCCTGAATGCTGGCAACTCAGGCAAAAAAAATTAAAATAAAAAAGCTGGCTGAACCTCCCAACTCCATGTAGCTTAGCTGGGAGAGGCAGGAGTGAAATACACCCAAGACACCAGACTGCATAGATGTTCCCATTTACCCTCACCACCACAAAACCCCCCCACCAACCTAACCCTTCAGCAGGAGTGATAAATAATTTTTTTTAAGGAAAAAAAAAAGTTTTTCCTTTAAAAAAAATTCTGGATAATTCTGATTATTCCAAACAGGTCATCTTCTAAAAGTTGAGCAGTTCACAGATTCACAAAGTTTATCAAATGAGGGGGGGACAAGGAAGACGTACGGAAGGGGGAAAGGAGACCTGTGAGCAGAGAAGTCACCTGGGCAATGATGCCCAACAAGGTGGGAGGAGCTGGCTGGGGAGGTCAGGGGCAGCATGTGCTCAGAGGTGTGTCCGTCTGTCCTCCACAGAAAAAGCTGCCAAGTTGGGATGTTTTGGTTTAAAAATTCATGGTGGGGGAAGAAGGTTGCTGAAGGGAAAAGGCAGAAGATGAAAGCTGCAGTCCAAGAGCTTCTACTTTTTAAAAAAAGAAAAGAAAATAAAGAGTCTTTAAAACAGCTTGGAGGGATCTAACGATGAACTGGGAGAGGAGATGATGGAGGAGACAGACAGTTTTTTTATTGCTGGCCTGCTCTGTTTAGCTGGCCTCCATCCGGAGTTTCTTTCTGCTTTGGGGCTCTTCAGGCTCTGACTCAGAGCTGGAATCTGAGCCCCCATCGAAGGCAGAGATGGTGCTGCCCTTGGCATTGGTGTAGAGGCTGCTGTCTGAAGAAGAATAGTTGGTCTGCAGTTGGGCACTTGACCTCGCTTTCTCCAGTGCACGGACTGAAAGGCAAGACAAGGACTGTGTTAAGGCACTCTGGAGGCTAACCAGAAGTGATGGCTCAGATTCAAGGTCCTTTGTGTTCTTCCTAAGGGTCTGCTAATCCCCAAATCTATGGGTGGTTCAGAAGCAGTACTCCCTTCCAGAAGATGTCCCTCCCCTCCCAAACAATTCTAGAGAGAAGGCTAATGTTATCAATCCTGTCACAGAAGCACACTGCAAAGACAGGAGTATGGAGCTCCTTGTGGAATCCAGCAATGGAAGGACACAAAAGCAGCTGGGATCTCCACCAATGGCAGTCTTGACAGGGGTGGGAAAGATTGTATCAGTTCTGATTACATCATTCACAACAGCAGCAAAGGATGACATGAGAGCCAAAGCAAAATTTTGCCTAAGCCCCCTAACAGGAAAGACTCTTATAACGAAAATCTGAGCCCTCAGAAGCATCTCACCACATATGGTACCTGAGCCCTTTGACAGACCCCTCACATGCAGGCTGTCCAGCTTGGTGCCTCCCCGCCAATACCCCCCCACTTCCCAGGCCCCTGCTCAGCTTGTCTGAGTCTGGAATGCTAAGAACCCATTTTTTTGATGTTGCATTTTTCTAACCCAAGTGGTTACTTGCATTTCCTTTTACTTGCATCTTCCATGAGGGAGGAAGAGAAGTGAATTCCCCAGGAACAAAGAACTTGATCAGCTCTCGCTTTCCCCTGTGGTTATAGGAAAAGGCGGTTGTGAGCATTTGACAACAGCAGGGACCTGGCCCATATGCTGCCCTGATTGGACAATTATTTATTTACACTGAAGTGGGCTCACTTGTTACCGGACACTTGTGAGGCTTTGGTACTTACACAATATATTTAAATCCAAGGACCTCAAAGTTGATAACAAACAGCTGGTGCTGACAGGGCAAATAAGGCACAGAACTGGCAAACGATTGGCTCCAGTTCAGAAAAGACACAAAACCTTCTAATACAGGGTTGAATTCCCTAGACACCCCTGCCTCCTCATGGTCTTGTGATTTGGAGAAGCAACACAAGTTCCTTTCTCAGGTTCTATCTCCCAAACATTTAAGTTCTTTACATCCAGAACTGAGGCTTATTAGGCTTTCCACAACTGGTTTTGATCCCGGCGCAGATGAGACGGCCCTCAGCTAGCCACGGCAAAGGAGGGCCAGCTGCCCCAGTGCCTAAGAGGCTCACCTTGCTGCTCCAGTAGCGCGTTCTGCCGCTTGAGGTCATCAATATCCTGCTGGTGTGTGTGGTTTTTCCTTCTCATATACTGGATGTACTCTGTGGCTTTATCTAAGATTTGGGCCCGGGATGCCTGTTGCAATAGTGAGAAAAGCACAGGGGACAAAATAAAGACCTAGCTCATGGTAGTGATGAAGCAAATGTGTTTTTCTGTAGCAGGAGCAGTGGCAGCAGGATCATGGACAGGCTAAGAGTGCAGCCAAATAAAATGAATATGACAACCTATAGTTCCCTTAAGGGTCTCTCCATGTAATTGGGAAGCAATTCCCAAGGTCAGCTGTGTCCAGGGCACTTATTGTACCACTTAATGATTAACCACTTAGGGTATTTACTGTTGGAGCCTGACCATACTATGGCAAAACTGTGAGTGCCTGGTCCATAAAAAAGGGAGCCAGACCTGTCCCAGAGATATTCTGGGCCCACAAAATTGTTCTAAGAAGCTCCCAAGACTCAGCCAAATGTTTAGAAGAAAAACATAATTATCTGCATAGAAAATATATACAGTAAGCAATGCTGCCTTTTTTTTTGCATTGTAGCTTCTATCATCATCACCATCATCATCATCACAGCTAACAATAAATCAATTTTGTGAAACCACAAACTGCCTGATCTATTAACACAGGGGAAAAGTGGTAGTACTAGAAGATATTTCAGAAAGCAATAATATTCTTTTTACCGAAGTTTGTGGGTGGCCTGGGCACTGCCTACCCAGAAGGATGAATTAGTAGGCTAATGAACCTGATGTCAGGTAACAGTGCTCCTGGTATCTAATTTGGCTGGGAGGTTTCTTTTAGGCTGTAAACACTGCCAGAATTATTTAAAGTTGCCCTCTGCCAGGTTATCTAATAGAACCTAATTTTAAACTGGTGGCACAGGGCGCACGGACAAAAAGAATCACTGCCCAATGGAGTGCTCACTCCTAGCAATGGGAAGCAGGAATATTTCTTACTTAGGACAGTGAAGTACTTTGGAAATCCAGCAGTCTAACTCAAGTAGTTAATAAATATCCAAATGATTTCAAAAGTAGATGGGCTAAGGATCACCTCTCACCTTTTCGGGTTTTCAAAACTTCTTATCAAACAGTGACAGGGTTAGTTTATAACTCCTCAGGTTGGGTAACAGAAGGATTTTATAGGATATGGTGGTTTGTAAGGTCCTGCAGTTCTATCTGGCTTTCCTGCCATAATACTTCCAAAGCTATTCATTACCGAGTACCAACAACTTGGTGTAAGGTACTTAGAGGAACATAAAACAGTATTAAAATATTGTTCATCACCTCCCTGAGCACAAAAGTTTGTGTGAGAAAGAATACCCTAGACACATGTACACAAATAACTCATCTTCCTGGGCTCCAGTCCTACATCACAAACTGTCTATCTCCAAATGGAAGTCCCATAAGCATCTCAAAAGCTCAACATTTTCAAGCCAGAATTGATTATCCCCCCCCCCCCAAAACCCTTCTTTTTCCTAACTTCCTTATTTTTGTTGAGGGCACTATCATCACCCAAGTTTTCAACCTCCAGGGTCAAACCTGATTCTTCCCTCTTTCTCTCTCCCACCTCAAATCCAATTAGCTGCCAAGTCTACCTCCAACAACATTTTTCTGATCCACATTCTTCTCACCACTGTCATGACCACAACTTCAGGCATTCATCCACTCTTCTTAAAGTAATAAGCTTCCTAATCTTTTGGCCTTAAGCCCACCCATTTCCATTCCATTTTTCTCAAAGCAGTCAAATTGATATTACTAAAGCACAGATCTGACCTTGCTTAACTAAGAAGCTCTACTGGCTCCTCTTCTGTTTGGCATTTAAAGCCCTTTTTTATATTCTGGCTCCAGCCTACCTTTCCAAGATTACGTATTACTCTCTTGTATTTCATATTCCAACCAAACTGGCCTAAGTGACTCACCTCCATTTCTTTGCACATAGGCTGTTCCCCATCCTTGGAATGTATCTTTTCCTCTTCTCTTTAAATCCCTAGTTTCCTTCACAGTTCCATTCAAATACCATTTCCTATAAGAAGCCTATCTTGATCCTTTCTAAGTTGCTAGTGCCCACTGCCTTCTACCCCCAGGTCATTGCTTTGTATTTACTTCTCCATGTACATGGTATTTCCTTTTAACAGAATTTAAAATAAAGTGCCTGACACATCACAGGCATTTTAAATAAATGCTTGCTGGACGAATGAACTATTACAATACAGTATAAAGATTAAGTATCATATAACTAAAATGTACTCAAAGAATCATGCTGAAATCATACAGATATACCATCATGATGAATGCCCAGCAAATTCTAATGAAGAAGGAATTCCTCATACATAATGAGGTGCTCTAGATATTCCTGTTTGTTGCCAACATTGTGTTGGCTGCATCAAGTCCTGCAGAGCCTCCAAAATGAGATACATAATCATTCAAGTAATCAAAGTTGTCTATTTTTATCTTGTATAATTTCCTTTATCTCTTGTTTGGTTAAGAATACATGTCCTATATATAATAATTCAAAATAATTTTTTGGCTTATCCACATAAGAAAAATCAAGTGGGTAAAGAATGATTAGTGTCCAAACTATCATATGCAGTTCAACAGAAAGCCTGAAACAGCTGATCTCTTGGAATAGCTTCTCCCTGAAGAGCAGTTTTCTTCCAATGATGCAGTATGGTATCAATTCATGAAATGCTACTGTTGAGGCAACATACTGATAGAGTGCTGAGCCTGGAGCCAAGAAGACCCAAATTTCCAAATATGGCTCCCTTACTAGCTGTGTGACCCTGAGCAAGGTACTAAAAACTGCCTTTCTCAGTTTTCTCCTCTGTAAAATGGGGATAATTATAGTACCTACCTCTCAAGTTTTTGAGGAGGATCAAATGAGGTAATATTTGCAAAACACTTAGTACCTTAATAAATGCTTATTCTTTTTCTCGTTTCCAAAGGATCATGGTAAACCTGAGTAGGCTACAATATACTACCAATCAAGAACTGCATAAAATAAACTACATAAAGGATGCCATCAGAAAAATGTATGCCAGTAAAGGAAGGTGGGCTGGTCACATGAAGAGAGGAAGGAATAACAGACAGCCACTAACATCTTTGGGCCTCAGTTTCCTCACCTGTAAAATGAGGGTGATGGATATCTTTAGAGGTTCCTTTCAGCTATGATTCTATGATCTACATACTCTACTGATACCTACGTAACATTAAAAAAACTAGAGGAAAGCCTCCAGAACACCAAATGGATATGCTGTGGAAAACTGATGGAAAGACAGGGACAAGAGTCATAAAGGATGAAAGGAAATGGATGAACTGTCCTCTTCACCAATGGCAGGAATATCACATCAATGAGATAACAGGTTCACTGACATTATCATGAATGGCAGAAACAATAAAACTACAGGAATTCAGATTACTTCTTGTTGGGTTGATGAGAAGGCTTCACTGCAGGAGATAACACTTGAGTTGAAAAAGAAAGGAGGCTCTCAAAAGAGAAAGATAGTTCAAATTCAGGATTGGGCAATGGAGGTGAGAGTGCAAGGTGGATCTTAAGGACCGCCGGTGACCACTTTGGCTGGAGCAGAGGGTTCATAGTGGGAGGGGAAATAGGGTGAAATAAAAAAAGATTTGCTTTGGTCCAAACTTCTGTGTGTATGGCTATCCAAATGTGGCTTCCCATTGTTAAAAGGATACTTAATAAGATTTTTAATTATTAAGTAGTAAAATCAAACAGGGCAGCTAAATGGTGCAGTGAATAGATGGCAGTGTCTGAAGTCAACAAAACTCATCTTCCTGTGTTCAAATTGAGCCTCAGATACTTACGAGCTATGTGACCCTGGGCAAATCACTTAACTCTGTTTGTCTCAGTTTCCTCATCTGTCAAATGAGCTGGACAAGGGAATGGCAAACCATTCCAATATCTTTTGCCAACAAAACCCCAAATGAGATCATGAAGAATCAGACACCAATTGAAATGACTGAACAGTGACAATAAAAAATTAAACCAGGAACATTATTTAAATACAGAGTAGCACAAAAGCACAGAGAAGAAAGGACCTCAGAACTCATCCATTCTCTACTTTAAAAAACTCCAGATGAAGTGCTCACCACTTCGTGAAGCAGACCATTCTACTTCTGGAAAGCTCTACTTTCTAAGCTTTTTCTAATATTAAGCTGATATTGTCTCTCTAGCTTCTACTGACTGACCCTATTTCTATCTTCTGGGGCCATGTTAATAAAGTCTAGTGCCTCTAGCACATGACTTCCACTGAAATATATGAAGATAGTTATCATTTGAGTTCTCTTCTCCAAGTTAAACAGTCCTAGCTCATGCAAGATCCTTGTATGGCATAGTTTTAATTCTCCTACCTATTCTGGATGTTATCTGTCAGAGGTATTCCTCCAGTTTGTTAATGTTCTTTCTAAAACATAGTGCCCCAAACTGTACAAACTTCAGATGTATTCTTACCCAGTGTTTGATCTGGCCCTCAGAGGCCTGCAGCCTCTCATAGATTTAACACATCCCTAAATAGAAAGTTCTGAATAGAAACCTCCAACTTCATCTTAACCTGATCACTCTATTTTTTCACAGACAGCTTGCTTTAAGAGTCTGCATACTCTTGGGAGAATATTAAGAACTAAGTCAGAAATTTAGGTTATGAATAAACTTAATGCAACCTCTATTCTTATTTTGTCATTGGCCAGACTTGTCTTCCCTGAGTCATGCAGCTCCTTATCCAAATGCCCCATGAGCTCTTACAGCTATCTAGATAATGGCCATCTGGCTGGTATGATGAGGCCCTGGGCCTCGAGACACAGGGAAATTCAGATAAAAAATTTTTTTCAGGCTTCTTTCTTTTTTCCTTTCACTTAATATTATTTTATTTTTTCCAATTACATGTAAAGATAGTTTTCAACATTCACTTTTAAGATTCTGAGTTCCAAATTTCTTTCCCTCCCTCAGACAGCAAGCAACCCAATATAGGCTTTACATGTACAATCATATTTCCACATTAGTCACGTTGTAAAAGAAGAATCAGAACAAAAGGGAAAAATCATAAGAAAAAAACAAAACAAAAAAAAAGTGA